GCTTTATCAATATACAGGTTACTTGGTTCAAATTGTTTTAGTTATATTTTGTAAAGGTGGAAAAGGGATTTTCTCAGATTATTTTTCTGCTGTTAATAGGTTTTAGTTTTATTACTTGGGGACCATACGCCGCTATTCATGGAATGGCCCTACTGTGTCAAATTGAAGGTTCCATGATATCCGCCGTATGAACACACCTGCGGATGCTTCAAAATTCTAAATTCAAAAGTTTACCATTTCATGTCTGCTTAAGCCAGTGCTAGGGGGCGTGGACGGTAACTTGCACTTTCCAGTAATGTCCATGAACAGGCTCAATCCAACTTAGTTTGCACCATTTTCAATTTTGCAGTGTTAGGCTTTCTTTAGGAATTCTGTTTTTCAATATTTTAAAGAATTGTCAAACAAAAATGAGTGTATCGATCTTGTATACCATAAATAGCACAAATGTATTTATTCTATGCAAGTACAATGTATACGCTGTACTAAATCGCATTGTCGGACAAATAGTTATGCTATGGAGTAAACATGTACCTTTATGTTTTTAGAACTTATGTTTGTATTGCGCAACAGTCTGTATGTGGGTTGCTCGCCAGTCTACTGTTGCACACCATGCTAGCTTGTGTGCAACAGTAATCTGTGCAATATTATCAACAGTAGAGGAGTGGCACTAATTGGCATTAAATGTGGTGATCATGGTCCCCGGCTTCATCTCAAGTTATATATGTCCAGTTAAGACAAATGAATATATTTCAGGATTACTATTAAATAACATGGCTATTTCTTGATCGATGTCATCGTGTTTAGAATAAAAGTCCTTATGAAGCTGTACAATTTCCAGTAAACACAATGATAGACAAGAAAGTAAATTGTTTTCTCTCCAGATGTGAACATGTGAATTGGCAATACATTTGAAGAATACAGTTTTACACATGTAACTGGAAATCACATCTTCCAGTTGATCATGGTCACTCCCTCTACATACAACAGGAACAACAACGCATCCAGTTTTGCAGCCATAATGTTTTATTTCTACAGATGGTCAGTGACCTTCGCGTTGTTAATCCAGCCATTGTGTTGCTTTTTTGTCATTTTTTTTTACAATGCAGATCAATTACATGTTCTGTATCATTGTAACTGTGTGTACCTTTGCTGGTCCTTTAATTTGAATTACTCGAGATCTTCACAAGAAACACGCCCGTTTAACTCACAACGAGTGAAAAATGTCCATCGGTCAAAATGTTGTGGGCAAACGTTCGTTCCTCGTTGTGAGCCCCCCATCTTTTTAACGTGGACACAAAAAAAGGGGGTTTTTCATAATTTTTGAAAAATTAAGACAAATTTTTTAAAAAAATCGAAAAAGCAGTTAGCTAGCATTTTGTTTTCCCCAGTAAAGCACATGAAAGACAAATTTCCTGTTGGTGGACTTTGTTTGGTCCGTGGGGCACAGTCCCCGGGGGGGCAGGAAAAATGGAGACAACTTCTCTTTGGACCTAATTTAACATTGAAAACGTCGATTCTGGTGACGTTTTGTGCATTCTAACCTAAAACAGATGCCCACAAGTCTTTAGCGTAAATTATTATCTGAAAGTCTTCATAGAAACGAAGATATACCTTTTTTTGCTTTAATCCTCGTTGTGAGCACCAAAACCTCGTTGTGAGCAAGACAAGCGCAGTGCTAGTCTGGTTTTAATATGTAATTCAAATGGCAAGAATACAATTTTCAATCTACCAAAAGCAATCAAAACGTTTTCGTACAATAGTTTTTCTTTGCAATAGGTCTTCTTTTTTGAAAATTATTCTTCATATTCACAAGTCATCAGATTAACAGAAGAACTAATCAGTGGAGGTAAATCGCTATTTTATTTCGTATACTCTAGTGTGGCACGAGTGAACATCACGGGGCGTTTATGATATTTCAACAATTTCACAATCTGTGTGATACACACATACATGTGTTTATCCTGAGCTGAAGACTGACCAAGTTATGTAAAACAGGAACTATCACGGTAAGTTGACAATGCCCCTGAAGTGGTGCTTTGTCCTTTGATTTATGGACCAAATATATTATTTGTTTTTGGACAATTAGATCTTCAATGTGAAGGTCATTCAAGGTCAAGGTGAAATAAATATAGGTCAGTTGGAAGGTCTTGTCCAAAGGGGCATTGTGTCCAAATATGAATTAATTCCACTTACTTATAAAGAAGTTATGACCAATGTTAAAGTTTTTGGATGTTCTAGAAGGTCATTTTGGGTACAAGGTAAAAAAAATACAGATCAGTTTGAAGGTCTTGCCTAAAGGGGTGTTGTTTCAAAATATGAGTAGAATCCGTATGCTAATAAGGAAGTTATGACCAATTTTTAAGTTTTTGGACAATTTGACCTTCAAGGTGAAGGTCATTCAGGGGTCAAGGTCAAAAGAATATAGGATAGCTGAAAGGCCTTGTCCAAAGATGTGTTGTGCCTAAACATTATGCCAGGACATTATGGCCAATCTTAAAATGTTTTTGGACAATTTGACCTTCAAGGTAAAGGCCATTCAGGGGCCAAGGTAAAAAAAGACAGGTCCGTAGGAAGGTCTTGTGCTAAGGGATGTTGTGTTCAAATATGAATCAAATCCGTTTACTAATAAGGAAGTTATGGCCAATGTTAAGGTTTTCGGACAGATTGACGGACTGACAGACGGACAGTTCAAAACTAATATGCCTCCCTTTGGGGTAAGCACAACGTCTTGCAAAGAAACGCTGCTGTGCAAAAACGTTTTAATTGCTGTGGTAGATTGAAAATTATATTTTCACCATCTGAATTACATATTAAAACCATACACGCACTGCGCTTGTCTTGCTCACAACGATGTTATGGTGCTCACAACGAGGATTAAAGCAAAAAAGGGTATATCTTCGTTTCTATGAAGACTTTCAGATAAATATTTACGCTAAAGACTTGTGGGCATCTGTTTTAGGTTAGAATGCACAAAACAAAAGCAATAAAAGGAGCATCACGTCATAACACTTGAAGTAAACAATTTCCAGGAGATACAGAATTAGCTTGAATCTTCAAACAATTATGTACAGCAGGTAACCATTCATATCAGTTTTTTTTTATTACAGGGAGATCATTGAAACAAAAAAGTCGGTCAGTGTCTGAATCATCCAAATGGTAGTTGTGCCTTCTGATTGTCGACATAATAGTATTCTTATTTTGTAATTGGTTATTCACATTGAACATTGATTTATTCAGAAGCCAAGTGTTTCTCCTCTTCAGCACTATTCTCTCATTAACACATATATCAGCTTGTATTTAAGATAATCTCATCGATATAGTCTGTATGTAACTTGGTAATCATACATTTTGTAAATACATTTTTTTTACATATTAAATATCTTTATTGATCTTACTTTGTCAGATGATTATTGTTTATTATAAAATATTCAAAACAAATTTTCTTTTTTATATCATTTTCCTGAATGTAACACCTCACAAGTATTTTTTATCATCAGTTCTTGTATAACTTGAAATGAAAATGGATTGACGTTTTTACCAGTATCTCAATAATCTTTGATTAATGCTATATGCAATGACAATCATTATTTCATTATTTTTTATATTTATTTCAAGACTATTTCCTGATACTGCATGTATGCTGTAAATATCACACTTGTTATTGGAGCAGATAATCCTTTAGAATTACCTTTTGTTTTATTTGTTGTTTATTACAGGTAATGAGGTTCATTAGGTTACAGTAAAATGCTTTGTTCTGTTTATTTCTCAATATTGCATTTCTTAACTAATTTTGCTTCTTCCTTTAGAGAATAATTCTTTTAATGATTTTTTTATATATTTGACGTTTTCTTATCATCCTTTGTTGAAGTTTATAGACGGAACTTTTCTCAGTTCGAAATAGAGAAATGCAGTTCATGCACATATGCACATAGGTTGCGTAATAGAATTCTGTCAATAATGGTAAAACTTTCAGAACTGAATTACTATGAAACACCTGTGTACACTATCATTTGTTAGTAGGTGCTGGGTAGTAATTTGGTTCTGAACATTATTTTATGATTTTGGTTAATTTCTTGTGAGTATCATGGGTAAACTGCAAGCTGTACTCAATTTATGATACTTTGAAATTGCTAGACTCTGTAACAAAGTAGTTTCAGCTTCTGTCTTATATTCTTTATGCAATTTTAACAGTTAATGAGTTGGAAAACTGGTTCAAGGATTTTTGTTAGTTGCTTTACATAAACGAAACTGACATTCCTAACATCATGTTCAATTCTAAAGACACAGTAATCTTGATAGTAAATTTCAGATATTGTTGTTGTTGATATCTCTGCTTTAACAACATTTATTATTTAAGTTTAAGTGTCAAATACTTATGAGTACTCCTTTGTAACATTTAAACCTGTTTAATATACCGTTGTCTTATTATAGTCAATTTTTTTCATGTGCACAAAGTGTTACTTTGATAACTTATCATGATTATCAATTTAAATTTTGATTTTATTTCTTAATAACTGACCAGGTAATAATCCTTGAAACAGTAAATGATCTCGTTAATGAAGTTTTTACAAAAGAAAAGATATTCCAATCGTTGCGACTTATCAGTTTATACCAAAGTCAAATTAAATAACATCTCTTTAGTTCTCACCTTAAATTTAAATTAGCCCCAAATATTTGCTCAGCAACTTGAAGGTGTATATGTCTACTGGTAGTTCTAATATCGAATAATGACCCTTTGTATAAAATGAAGGTTATTCGCATTGTTTCAAAACAGACCATATTACAAAACAAAATAAATGAACTGAAAACTCAAATAAATATAAAACTCTAGAAATTTAGATAATTAAGTTATAAATATTTCCTTTTTTTTTCTTTCTTTTCTTTCTTTTTTTCTTGATATATGTAGAAAATTCATTAAGATCTGAAAATTATAATCTGATGTTAATATTTTCCTAAAAATACACTACACCGAAGATAAAGTTTCAGCGTGACCTTACATAGTCCAGGCTATTCTCCATATTTGCTTTTGACTTAATTACCGCTATATCAGCCAAGTGGGACTCTGTGTTGTTTTATTCTCGTGAAATATTGTGATGGAAAGAAAACAGTAAAATATGTGAGTAAATATAAGTTAAATTTAACCATTTCACAAAAATAGTAATTAGTTGGATAAGTTTTAAAATTTGCTTGAATATGTACTTTCTTCTCATTTGTTTTAACACGCAAATAATTCGAAAAACATTTAATTGTACAAAAGTTATTCAATACAAATATAACAACATATTTGTTTACTTGATTTTTAAGAATCAAAATAAAACTAATTAACACAATATGACATTAACTGCTTTTATTTTATGCTTTTCAATGGATTACTGATTTATCCGTGAAAATTATATTTGGTAATTTCACAGTGAAAATTATCAAAATATAATTTCACTTTTTTCAATGACGAAACTACTTTTTTAAGATTTTCCCCATGTGGTACCTCAATTTTATTTTTGCTGACAATTCTGACAATGTCAGGCTGTTTAAAGAAAAAGCAAAGCTGAAATTGATAAATACCTTAAACGTCAAAAGTAATAAAAAGAAGAAAACTTACTTCTATTCATTCAAATTCCAATCACCAAATTTCGTCTCTAAATTTTTTGTTTCATTTTTACAGTCTGAAAAATACATTCCTTCCACATGCAAACTGCTCTTGATGACATTTGGGCATATTAAAGTATCCTACGAGTAATAACTGCCGTATGCTTTATGAAAAATTGAAAAGCAATGACAGCTACAGCTCGTAGAACAAGTAAACCACCCAGCATTCCGAGCAAGTTCCAAGTCTTTCATTTTCATAGCTGCTTTTTTCATGTTTTCACATCTGTCAACACTTATTTTTGTCTGTTTCAATCCTGAAATATGTTTTCTTTCTTTTAAAAAGGTGTATGACTAACAATTCCAAAATGATATCCCTCTGAATCAAACACAATTATTTTCCTCCCGTGAAATACACAACTTTAAAAAATGGCTGCCGCTTACATTTAACAAAGCCAGGTCTAATATAAATTCGCAGTAAGTAACAGAAATATGGATGGATGGTTGGAATTTTCTCCTACACGAATAGTTTTGTTTTTATTATTAAAACAAGCGATCATTCATATTTTTTAAACAAAATAAATAATATCACTGTCATTTAATGTTGAATATCGGACTTATTTTTCAGCTCAAGACTTCTTTGTTTTTAATGAGAAATTCGCACGAAATGAGGCTCTCAATGGGGAAACAGATTTTAATATTTATGTTAATATTATGGAAATTTCGTTTAAACTTGTTTTTTTAGCATAAAATAAAAAGAAAATTTGTTTGTTTGTTGTGTAAGATGTAATTTTATTTCATCTCGTGAACTTTAAAAACAGTATTCTCACTCGTGGCTACGCCACTCGTGAGAATACAGTTTTTAAAGCCCACTCGATGAAATAAAATTTCATCTTACACACAAACAAACAAATATCCTCTATATAATAACAGCTCCTTTCATAGGCCAAAATAAAAAGCATTCCATAAGAGACGACGACGTTCACCGGCGTCGCCAATAATTATTATGTTCTCAATTGTTGACATAGACCTTACAAAGGTTAGTCCAATTATTTGTTCTACCCGACGAGATATTGTTGGGGTTCTTTTGTGTATAGGCAATATCTCACCTCTACCAGAAGCGAGATGATGACCCAGAACAAAAATATCTCAGAATCTAGCTTTGTCACGTAAATATATTTTGACTTTACAAAGGTGAGATAAAATTTAATTCATCACTGTCTTAATTGCTCAAACTTAAACAATATTCATTTTCAAAACCGGAGGTACACATTGAACTTTGTATCCCCCATTTACGTCACATCCGGTAAAGGAAGTAACTCTTCCATTAAGGTTGTTAATTAATACCTTTATCATTTATGTTTTACATTACTTATGTTTTTATACTTATGTTTTTATTTAAAATGGTACTTTAAGTCAATGGTATTAATAAGAGAATGTATACATAAAACTGCCTGTGAATTATATCACTGATATGTTGTAAACAATAAATCTATATAATTGTCTTCCTTTTGGGGTTTAAAGGATATAAAGCTGTCAGTAAATTAACAATAAAACATTTGTTTTAATATTCATTAGAATCAAAATAACATTGTGCTCAGTGTTTCGTTGTCCATTTGAGCTGAGTATATACATACATTAAAAAATATTGATTATTATACTGGTTATTGATCAATAATTGATACAAGTAATGGAAACTGTTCATGATAAAATATATAAACTGCCTGATATGTAAAAGGACTGCCCAACTCAGTTTATCAATTGAATGTTAACAATAAAGCTCATTCTGTGATTAAGAAGGGTTTTTTATTATAAACATGACCAAGCCTTGAAATTGGAAAAGAATTATAGCAACATTTAAAGTTATCTTAACTTTGAACAATACATTCACCCTTAATCTTGAATTGGCATATTGTACTTTGAACCAAAGCCGAAAGAGAAATCTTCGCAAATTTCAATTGAAAGTAGGATCTGTTTTGTTGAATCTCAATGAATTACATTAAAAATGTTTGTTTTATAATTTGCAGGTTATAGAATGCTGAATGCTTACTGCACTAGATAAAAGTTTGACTATAAACGGCCGTGCACCTCCTGAAAAAAATTGAAATGGTGAGTACATGTTCCATTATAAGTTCTTAACTTAAACAAAATGACATCATCATGATATCTTGGTTAATAATGCAAATTACACTAAAGGTGTAAAACAGATTAATTAAAAAATATTATTTCCTCATGACTCAATTAAACCTATGCTAGAACACGCTTTCAAAGATTTTGATCGTGTGCTTGTAAATAAGTTCCTTGTTTTGTAACAAAGCAGAATTTAATTAAAGTGCATTAATACATTAAACAATGTTCACCTTAAGTTAATTATTTGCTTAACGAATATTCTTGTCTACCAACTAAACTCAACATTCCATTTATCTTTAGACAAAATACATTTTGTTTAACTTTGTCAGAAAAAATAAATATTTTTTTTTTGTTTTGTCTGCATGATAAGAGACGCATCTGAAATAACTAGCAAGTTTGCTTACATTATATTGTTTTGCATACATATGTTTAATCAGGCGGATGAGATTGTAAAATATGTACAAGAAATACAGATATCCCAGAGGTTTAAAGCTGAAGAGAATTTTAAAAGAAATATACACGTTTAGATGGACCCAAAGTAAACTGGGGGGAGTAGGAAAACTTGTAAATGATTCCTATCTTTTTAAAATAAATTTTTTGCCCAAAAAATCTTTAAACTAGCCGAGTCCCTTTGGGGTTGGTTCCCCCCCTTTCAAAAATTTTTATTGTAAATTTATTTTTTCCCCCCAAAAAACCTTCCTAATTTTTATTAAATTTTCTCATATGTTTTACTAGACCCGGTTTTGTGAAAGAAACCCCCTTTTTTGTAAAAATTTTTTTAAATAAAAAAAGATGGTTTTTTCCAAACAAATTTTTTGACTTTTTTTTAGAGGGAGAAAAACCTTTTCCACCTATCATTTAAACCACCCTCCCTTCCCCTTTTTCCAATTTCCCTTTTTTTTATTCAAAAATTTTTTCATTTAACGAATATGAGTTGGGGGAAAGTTCATTTGTTTCGCTACTCTCAATAATAATTAAGATAAGTAACAAATTAACAAATAATAAACCCGCATGTTCATTGTAATAGAAAACTTTATTGTCATATATATTTTGCTTTATTCACTTTTGTCAGTAATATCTCGAATAAGGTTATATCTACTGTTGTCTTCAAATGTGTTAGACCTTTATATCTTTCCACTGCAGGCAACCTCTTACATTTAATGTCCTTTTAATCAGTTTTAGCTATATCATGTTCGTAAAGAAACCCGACATAACTCTTAGGGCGCGACTACACACAATCAAGTCTTCAATGCAAATACATGTATCATATCCTCTTGATTTGCATAATGTAGACACCCTACTTGAATCATTTTAATTAGAAAGTATGTGACATCCATAAAAATAATTTCTTGCGAGCAAATTAGAACACGTTCTATTTTGGCCGTCAAAACACTGATAACATCGGTTTGACACAAAACATGTGACCCGAAGGTGTGACAGTGCTGTTATTTTTACTTTTAATGACGTTTTTTCGTTGATTCAGTGTACATGACCTGTGAATTTTCAGTAAATGTTTACTGGAACAAACGATTCATTTATACACAGAAGAACAAAAAAGAGATATGTTTTTTAAAAGTAAAATCAATAGGAATTTTATATCATATTTTTAGTTAGTGCAATAAGAATTTGTATCAATTAGTAGGCTTAATATTATGGTGGTATATAATTATCACGTTAACTATCTGACTAACTTGTAAGTTTTCTTGTTAACACGATTAATAAAAGATAATTTTCTGATACTTTAGTTACCAAACACAAAGGTTTATATGAAGTAAACAGATAATTATCTGTGATTTAACTGGTAAGTGTTGACAGTTTCGGGTCTTTTCTGGTGATTTTGGAAATCACATACTTTATATAATTTATATGTTAATTATCTGTTTAACAGAGAAAATATCTATGGTCTGATAAATATCTGATATTTATCGTATTAACACGAAAACGTACTAGTTAGTAAGATAGTTTACGCGATAATTATATGGTTAATAATAATTATATGCATTCAAGATATATGCCAGCATACAAAATTTATTTTGTAACCCATTTTCCCTTTAATTTAAAAGATTGTATACATTCATTAACTCCATTGTTTAAAGCTAATTACCGATTACATGTTGCAAGAGCCATTTTTTCGCTATTCTAAATATGACATGTAAGAAACTTGAATAGTTGTAGATACAGCCTTAGTGTATATTACAAAATTTTCGACTTATACTTTGACATGAATTGTATACCATTATTTCAGCGCCAGGACACAAGAACAATACAGAAGAGGTATTGTATTAATATACAAAATGTTCTTAGAATGCATTTTATAAAAAGTACCAATGATATATTAAAGATAAATATTTAAACTTGTTTATACTTTTGTAAGTAGATAATTATATCAACAGGTTTTTTTACTTCCAGATTGCTGTCATAAAATAAGCATAACATTGTTTTTTCGACCATTTCTTCAAAGAAAAGAAAGTGACATTTCATCATTATGTCAGTATAATAAATAAATTATGCGTGAGATGTAAATTTTTTCCTTTCCTGTTTTCATTCTGAAAGAATGCTTTGATATTCAGTAACAAATTTCTTATAGACTGATCAGCACATATATTTCATAAAATCAACATAATGATAAATCTTATATACATTTAGGTTGAAAATTTATTTTCACCATGTACTCTGTATGATACATAAGTGATATAAGTACATTTAAAAACAGTTTATCTATGTTTCAAGAAATCGACGAATTAGAGTCCAAGGTAAAAGCACTAGAAAGTGTCATAGATGAAAAAGATAATCTTCAGAAGCATGACGAGAAAGAATATCAAGAGTTAAAAGAACGAGTTGAGTTGCTTGAAACATTTGTGATGACAGTTTCAACGGACGATTCTAAGATACACTCTGCAACTTTGAAACAGGAAAAGACTGAGATAGAAAATGGAAATGCTGTTCCTGAGAAAGACTACAAAAATGTAAATTGTCCTGAAACATATCAGATTAAAGGTAGTGAGAATGGGAGTGAAGTATATCGTGCACATAAAAAAGAAAATTTAAAAGCATCTGCAGAAAAGAGTACATCAGACAATGTGTTCACGAAGGAAACAACTCCTCAAGATACACAGTCACCCTTGCCAAATAAATCTAAAGAAAACTCCGTTGCACAAGCACAAGTTGTAAAGAAATACAACTTCGTTGCTGATAACCAGAAGAAGCAAACGGTACAAACTAAAGGAGCTTCGAGGTAATAGTTTATAAGGGAGTTTTGAGGGAAGTTAATTTGCTATCTGTCTTAATTCTACATCTCCACTTTTATTCAGTAAATAAATTGATGTGTACATACAAAGACTTTGCAATGGATACCCCTATGTACTGTCCGTCTTTAAGGTAAACTAAGTACAACAAAAATCTTGTACTTAATATTTTTACTCTCTGACTTAAGTTAGTTTTAGGTAAAAACAATTGACTTTTAAAAGCAGAATTTTCTTAGTTCAGAAATTTTAATTTTTTTCAGAACTTATAATAATAAAATTTTATACTATTTGAATTTTTTTACAAAGTTAAATGCATATTGTGCACAAGCCTGGATAATTTGCGAATTACAATCCTTTTAACTTTTAAGTATACCGGAACAACCTATAAAAGGTGCCGAAGGTACAAGCAAAGACCATGCCTCTACAATGAAGTCCGATAGTACGTATTCTTTTAAATTTCTGTAATATGTCAAGTTTGTTTTATATTGTTTTTGCTTCACTTTAATATTCAAGTGATCACTAGTATTTGTAAGTAAATCATTGTTGTTTCCCAAATGCTTACAAAAATCAGTAAAATAGACTTGCCTACATTTGCAATAAAGATGATTTGATTGTGTACATTGCATTTTCTTTTACAAGTTAAAATCACAGTATATAAACGATTTGAACCCCAACCGGATCTTGTGAGAAGAATTCAGCATCTAAACGTACAATCAGACGTAATGACACATTAAACTATTAAAGATCGGCTTGAATTTAATATGTTACGGTATGTTAACATTTGAATCATATTAAGAAATAATTTATCTTTGCTTAAATATACATCCATAACCTTCTTCGTAAAATATATGCGCATAAAACGCTGTGCTCTTCGCCTCATATTTTGTTTATGTCAACACACGCCGATTACACAAGCAAATGTATGCCTAAAATTGTTTTATTTCACTATAACTCATATCTGAATCTTAACTTTATTGTCTTAACCTCATGTTACCGGACAGACACTTGTGAAAATATCTTTGAATATTGATAAAACATAGTAAATAATAGAGGCGACATTTCTGATAACTGTACCCGTCTTGCTAAAACAATTTTAATGATCTGTACCCTACTTGTGTTTTCACTGAACCATTACTTGCGAGTCACTTTTGATGATTTTTATTGTGTTTTTGTCGTATGTTCCAAATTTTAATGTGCAGAATATGAAGTTATTGTGTCACAAGAGAAGGGTACATGTTTTAGTTCTATGTAAGTAACTAAAACTGCATATGAATGGAGGAGCTTCGTCATGTTTTCACTGTCTACGAAAATACCGGCATGAAGTGGCTGTTTATACGAATCAGAAAGTCAATTATTTCTTGATAGGAATAATTAACTAACAAACCTCACCTTCACTTACCATTCATTTTTCTTTGGAAAGATATAAAGCTAAAATATTACATATGTACTATAAATTGTTTATATTTAGTTCAACGGCATTGTTGTTAGTTTTGACGTGACCGTTATATAACGTCACGTATCAAAAAACCTCGAAATATCATTACAAGATTTTTTTGCAGATTACTTATTTCAACATGTTGAAAGCTTTACACCTACCGTTGATTTCATTCTGCTTTTTTAAACACTGTTTTATATTCTCAGAAATTCATTGACTTTCTTTTTCTGACATGTACGACTTTTATTCTTGTATATCTTTCATAGACGTCGACAATTTTGGCATTTTTTAAACGGAGAATATTTGGGAAATTTTGAAATTTTAATTGTCAGTGTTTCAGCTATTGGTGTTATAAACTTCTTTTTTTTCGTTTACGTTATTGGTTGTGACGCTGAAATTTTTTAAGTAGGAAATTTTATTCTGATCATTATTTATTATTTTCAAGTTGCAGTCTGGATGGCGAATAATTATGTGGTCAATGATGTCATTGAAATTCGTAGTCTTTACTGAACAGTTTATGCAGTTGTATTCTTCCATGATGATCCGAAAGAAAAATATACATAGCATATAATTATATATTTTATTAAACAAATGATTAACAATATTATCAGTTAAACCAATTCTCGGTAAATACCTTAGATCCCACCTTATATACTAAAATTCTATTACAATCATTTATATTTTCTGGCAATAATTGATACAAAATCGCAATGAACGTAAACTTTTTCTCCAATAAATCTTTAAAAATACTCACAAGTCAGGGTACAGATAAAATTCGTAAACTCACAAGTAGGGTTCACAATCACCAGCAAGTAACGTTCAGTTTACGGAAATGACCTCCTTGGTAAAACTCTTAAATTTATGTTCAAGATACAGCAATATGTTATGCATATGACTAAATTATCGTTTGTTATTGATTACTTTAGTAGTTCGATATCACAATTCAATGTTTAACTAAATCAACATTGGAATAAGACGGATTTTTGTTCGTGTTCAGTGTTGATCACCTGAAAGCTGTTCGTGAGTTTCGATTATTTTATAGCCTTCGTGCTAACGTTTATGTTTTGCATAACTTAGACGTTTAATAAAGTTTCTCTCTTATAATATAAATATAGATTTACTAACCTAACGTCCATCAGTATCAATATAAATACCAATATCGTAAACAAGTGAAGTGGCAGAATATGGCTGACACTAAAATCTTCTCACAAGATCCGGTTGGGGTTCAAATCGTTTATATACTGTGAAAATGGTTGGACAGACAGAATGAAACGCACATGGCAAGGTTATTGGAGAAATCTAGCAAAAACCGAAATCGTCGGTTAGATTTTGTTTTCATAATTATGTTTATATTGACATTTCTTATATTATCTTAAATTTGTCATTCAACTTATACTCCAAATGGTAGATAACATGTTTTTGATTCAACTAATTCCAATGTGGTAAACATGTGTATGTGCTAGTTTCAAAGCTCCCTTGTTTTATAAAATTCTTAATCTATATCAATACATGCAATCGTTCAAACAAAGATAAACTAAAATTTTAATATAATAATCTGAAAATCATTTCTCCATGCAATAGTTAAACTTATGTTACGACTAGAAAGCTAATATAGGATATTCTTGCATATCAGACTGGCGTTTCCGTTAGTTTTACCCATGCCGGAAATTTCATCTGGCATGGGGGTTCCAGATGAGTCGCGTGCTGTACAAAGGCACGATAAAGATGACGTCATTTTACCGTTATGAATGATTTTGTAATTCATACGCTTTTGAATGAAAGTAGTTACGGTTGTAATGATAAAATATAATGGAATATGGTAGAATATGCAAGAAAAAATATCTGACATATGTTTGCGGTTCGGATCGGAATATCCGTCCCTCGGTCACCCGCCCATGGGCGGGTCACCTCGGGACGGATATTCCGATCCGAGCCGCAAAATATGACAGATATTATTATTTCAGCTATAGAGCATATCTGCAAGTGCAAGACAAGCTTAGCAATTACTGCATACTCTTATACATGTAGCTCGTATTGCTTAGCATTTGAAATTTTGATGTGTTGACTATATTTTAGAATAAGAAATTTCCCTATGCTATTATCAAAGTAATTAGATATTTTGATATTTCAGGAAAGAGAACACTTAGAGATTTACAAGGTGTTCATACTATTATTATTCTTGATATCTCAGCAAGTATGGCGGAAGAAAATGCATGGACGCATGCATCAAGATTTGTTCTAGATTATCTAAACGGTAATGTATTTCAATCTTAGACTTCTTAAAATATTCTACATACTAAGTATATCAATACGCATAGTCAGAGATAATCAATTTTGAAAAAGTCAAGAAGTCATTAGAAAAAAAGAATCTTAATATGGATGATATAAAACTGTATAAAACTTATTTCGTTAAGGAAACCCATCAACTTTATTCTATCAGCTGCTTAAAGCATACAGAGTGACATTTTCATATATTATAGATAATCATGCATAACTCAATCTGATTTGTTCGTCAGTATTTGATAATAACATATCTGCAAAATTGCATTGACCGTTTCAAATTGTTGATTTTTTAACTGAAATTGTAGGCCTCGAGGAAATCTCCAATCGGTATGAGCTTTCCAATGAGCATGTCGCTCTAGTGACGTTTGGTCACGATACACGAGTGCAACAGCGTTTTACGAAAGACTACAAGCGGATTTGGCAGCTTGTTGGTAAGTTAAAAACACTGTTTTCTTTAGATAAAGACAGTGAAGTTGCTTTTAACTGTCTAGCCAAATTTAAATTAATTAAAGTTAACATAAAATTATGATAAAAAGTCAGTAAAGGGCTTTTTAAAAGTATGAATTGTCAACTCCGTTCAACACATTTGCATATTTTACACGTTGTCTCTTAATAAAACACAGTTTACTTCATTTTAGAAAATCAGCGGCTTGGAGGACCAAGTCCACTAGATGAAGGACTGGCATTGGCAATGGCCACAGCACGGTCATCAAGGCGTAATATTTTCCTTGCTTTTATCAATTTCTTTGGCAGTTAAAGGTTTTTTTTTAATTTATGTTGAGAAGACAGAAGTGTAAGACTTAAAATATTACATTTAAAACATGCTGGATATTGTTCAAGCAATTTGATCCGCACCCTTTTCAGCTCGGTACAAAATTATAACTACTTTTTAAACAAAGTAATTATGAAATATGAAATTAATATCAAATGGCAACTTTATTCGCTGGATATTTATCAAAGATCGACTTTTAAGCAGGTGAATATGATGTGATATGTATTGAAAATAATGATATATACCGAGTCGACACTTAATCGGAGAAAATATACATTTCGTAGCTGTTTGAGTATAAAGTGTATTGACATAAGTATATAACCTTGCCTAAATTAGCAATAATTCATTGCAATAATTCGAATTTTAAATGCATTTCAGAATATGTGGAAAAAGTTAATCAAGTGGCAGTATTTCATAAAGTCATAATAGTGACGGACGGTTTTATTACTGAAGTAAGCCAACATGAAGGACCGGATAAAGCAGTTGGAGATTTAAGCGAAGTGAGCCTTCTAAAATGACTACATGTACCTCGTAAATAGCTAGATGTTAAATGGTTGCAAGTTCTTCTTTATATCATATGTGTTGCCACAGTTTCACACCAAGCCCTTGGTAAATTTAAACATTAAGTAGTCTACGAAATAAAAGTCAAACTGACTGGATAAACATGTAAATTTAAATGCATAGGAGAAAATACGGACACTCGTCAATAATCAAATGTCGTAATGGGAACTGTGCACGACATGAATTGGACAGTGAGAATTCACATGCATCTCCATGACGACTACAACGGTAATCATGGAACCTTCAATGTGACACGTCAATTATATTAGATGACAAGCGGCCTATTGTCCCCAATTAAATAAATGCGTGTGCACTAACCCAGAAAACAGTGGGAATGGTATTTTGAAAGGGGATCTGAGGTTATGAAATTGCGTTGATTTTGCTTATTGTCGTAAACATATTATGATACCGGTGAATACTAAATTGGTTGAACATTATATCTAATATGTCTATCTATTTATTTTGCAAGTAATAATGTCATTGCATGAGCGTGTACGTTATGATTTCAATTTTTTCTTTTCGTATTTCTTTTCAGACTAAAGCAATGTTGCTACAGACCATGGAGGAATTCAAGTGCATTCAAACGGATATGTATTATGTCCAAGCAGGAAAAGGAAGCGAAGTATGATTATAACGTTCTACACTAGCATTTCTTTGTGCCAAGATTGGTTCAACGATATTTACTTTTTATGCTGCCCGAAAAAATTCGGGGGAGCATATAGTCGCCGCCTTGTCCGTCAGTCCGCTTTTCTTGTCCGGGACATAACTTTGAAACATCAAGAAGTATGAACATGAAACTTTGTAGGTAGATAGATCTCATTGAGTAGGTGTGCAGTGCACAAGAACCGTAACTCTGCCTTGCCTAATTTTGGAGTTATTGCCCTTTGTTCATTTTAACACTTTGAACTTTGTCCGGGACATAACTCTAAAATTATAAAAGATATCAACATGAAAATTTGTACGTAGATAGGTGTCATTGGGTAGACGTGCAGTGCTAAAGAATCATAATTCTGCCTTGCCTTATTTTGATTGTTATTGCTCTTTGTTTATATTTACTTTTTTACTTTTGTCCGGGACATAACTCTAAAACTATTAGTGTAGTTTAAACATATTTTATTGCATTAAATACATGTTTACAAACATATCATACAAATATTGAGTATATATCAAACTATTAGAGATATCAACATGAAACTGTGTAGGTAGATAGATCTCATTGGATAGAACTGCAATGCTAAATAACCTTAACACAGCCATGTCTAATTTTGAAGTTATTGCCCTTTGTTCATTTTTACACTTTGAATTTTACCCGGGACATAACTCTGAAACTATAAGAGATATCATCACGAACCTTTATAGACAGATAGATCACATTGAATAGAAGTGCAGTGCAAAAAACCATAGCTCTGCCTTGTCTAATTTTGGAGTTTTTGCCCTTTGTTCATTTTTTAATACTTTCCTGTGTAAAAAAACCTTCTCGGGGAGCATCGTTCTTGTTACAGGTAATGTGTTTATCTTTGTTTCTAATAAGCGCTCTACTAAACTATAAATATTTCTATCAGAGTCTGACCAAGCCTTGTAGAAATTCAACAAGCATGATATTTAAGGGTTTTTTTCTTTGATAATAATTGTAAAAAAGAATATATATTATCTGTTTTTTCTGATGGCAGTTTTTAATCATCGAAACATTTTGTCAGCAAGATATCTACTCATCAATACTAAACAAGTTTACAGAAATATGAGCCAAAATACTTTTGCAAATAGCTGTTTATAACTAAAGTGAAAAAGCCATGATAATTGTATTATTCATGGCTCTACCAGAATATTATCATTGAAACAGCTTATCATTTTAATCTAAAACAATTTCATATCAAAGGAAACACGACAGTTTAGCGAATTATTGATGGCTGAAGTAGGTGGCAAAATACTTGATTACAAATCTGGTCGACAGTTTTCAAGGCGTATTTATTTAACAGTAAGTACCTAGTTATTCTGCAAACAGATAACTATAATGATAAAATCATTTCTACATAAATCGTGAATAAAAATATATGTATACATTTGGCAATTACAATGCATAAATATTTGTTTGTTTGTTTGTTTAATTGGGTTTTACGTCACACCGACACATTATAGGTCATACGGCGACGTTCCAGCTTTACTGGTGGAGGAAGACCTCAGCCGTACATTATTTCAGGCACGGACGGGAACCTGAGTAGAACCACCGACGTTACGTAAGCTAGCTGGATAGCTTCATCACATGAAAGAATCCAAAGTCCCTGTCGGGTTTCGAACCCACAGCGGTGAGGGGCAAGTGGTTTAAAGTCAACGACCTTAACCACTCGGCCACAGACGCCCCTACATAAATATTTGTATCAAAGATACAAAAATGATATAAACGAAATATCAATCTATAAAGACCATCGTTTTAAAGTTTTTTACAAAATAAATTGTTCTACATATTCACTTTAGAAGGTTCTTTTTTAAATTTACTGGTATGTTTCATTTTACTTATACACCAGCCGAACATACCGGAATCGTTTGGACTTGTTCTTATGTCACAGTTCGGAGGTGGCCGCCAATCATTTGGAGACTTTTCCCAGGAAGACAGGGTAATCAAATGTTCTGATTGTCAATCTTGTATTGACTGGAATGATTTTAACTGAAACAACTGACTGTCCATTTCATTTAACATTTTCGTTAATTATACAACAGGCTGTACATAACCCTGGAAGAGAAAAAGAAATGTAAGAAACATATACAAAACTTTCTGAATAGTATAGTGGAAAATATTTCAACATTTATTCGCAAAAAAAATAAAATAGAAATTGTTTAACATGTACATTGTAGAAGGTTTTTTAAAACTCACTTGTATGTTTCATTTTACTTTTACACTAGTCGAAAAGACCAGGGGTTAGTATCTCGAAGCTATCGTTATATTTGCGTTTACGAACGTGCGGACGATTGACGGAAGGTTGGTGAACGAGAGACTAGCGCGGGTATCTCGAAAGCGATAGTTAAGCAATCGTTCGTTCCTTACTCGTTAGTTATTAACGATTAAATTATGTAAACATTTGAATACCGCGAACAGTGTGTTAAACCAGGAAGGAATGGTCGTAACAAAACGTAAACTAAGAAAAATTGCAAATGTTGAAAATTCCTATGAAACTGACGTGATTACTATTGAAAGGTAAAAACTTAAAATAGAAACAGCAAGACTAGTAACTGAGGGAAAACGACTGTAGACAGTAAAGGCTGCAAGTGGAAATCAGACATTTTAAAGACTTTACTAAGTCAAAACAAATATTCTGGCCGAGCTTCTTCTCAATACCCTCCCTCATTTTGTTTCAGGCTACAGCAATTAACATGTTTCAGGGTGTAAGTATACTCTCAAGATTCAAACTTGAAAAATGTTGCTTTCATGGATGAAATATTGGAATTGCAAATATCTAAATGAATGTAAATAGCGAACACTCAGTCGTCATAATGTCTATTTTGAATCCTAGTAGTCTGTTTATTTAAACACATATCAGGACAATAAAATTAAGATTCAAGTTAGTCCATAACTCGGCTTAGTATACAATGTAAACGCTTAATCTCATCATAATTAATCTAGAATTCTTTTTTCTTATGTAAGTTAAAACAACGATCGTGATATACCAGTGACAATGATTATTACTATGATAATGATGATGATACAACGACGACAGCGAGGATGGGTTAAGTTTTAAAGAAATATTAAGATGTTTTTCGTTTGAGTGAAATATAGAATATGTTCACGAAACATGATAAATTTCCATATATTTTCACGAGCTGGAAATCTTAATTTTACTCTTTAAAAAGAACTTCCGATTTCGAAGCTTTATAAATTCGTTATAAATATTCCTGACAAGTTATATGGCCGTATATAAACGGTTGTTTGCAATATAAACCTCGCCTGACTGCTAGGGTTATATTTACAAACAACCGTTTATATAAGGTCACGCAACCTGTCTAATATTAAAAAAATACTATTTTCATTGGATATTCACTAAGTTCACTTCAGTGTTGTTATATTTGTCTGGTCCTTCGGGATCATTGATGTCAGCACTATTAAGTGTTGAGTATTGGGTACCGCTCAAGCCGGTGCTAGGGGGCGTGAGGGATGTTGCACGTATTCATTATCCCTCATGTACAGACTCAATCAAACCGAGTCAGCAGTTCTCTTGTAATTTTGTTGTGATTAACGCTTCCGAGGGATCACTTTGTTTCCAGATTTTTATATAATCTTCTGTTAATTTATGGATAAATTTTCATTTTGTCTTTAACACAGGATTAAGAAAGGATTATGTATTACAAATTTAAATATAGCAAGTAAAAATATATCAGCTGGTGTTGGCAAGAGCAAAATATTTCAATCTGTTACGTTAAACAAACAGAAATTCCATATATTTCATGCCTATCTGTTGTACTGATTTTTGCAGCGTAACGTAATGTCATTAAATAATTACATCACAGGTAACTTTTCGAAATATAATTCTGTAAAAAGTACCGAATTTTGTTACATTTTTAACATTATGTACATGCAAATATTTATTTATATTGTCTTGTGCAAATATTACACATTTCAGAGTTTATTCCTTTCGATGCTTCAGTTATTATATGATTTTTTTTCATCTGCATTGAAATATACATCTTCATGTAAACTAAAAGAGCTCTTACATATGTTTGATATGTGAGAAAAAGAAATAAAATATCATATTTATGTAGGTTCATCATTTTTATCAATAAGGTGATATAATTCTCATTTTTTTGTGTATTTTAAATTCGAAGTATTCTTCCTTTTGTGCCAAAGTGATAGTAACGAGAGCTATACGACACCTTCAACGCAACCGTTAATAATTGGGCATTTTAACGATTATTCGTTAATTACGAGAGTTTCGAGATACCAGTAAAAACCTTAACGAGAGGCTTACGACAGTCGTTATGCTAACGATAGCTTCGAGATACTGACCCCAGAATCATTTAGACTTGTTCCGATGTCACAGTTCGGAGGTGGTCGCCAATCATTTGAAGACTTTTCCCAGGAAGACAGAGTAATTAAATGTTTTGAATGTCAATTTTCTATTGGCTGAAATGTTTTTTAACTAAAACGACTGACTGTCATTTCATTTGGTATTTTCGATAATTACGTAATATGTAGAAATTTTGAACCTACCTGACATAAAAGCCAAAGTTAGCGGTCGAACCTTTGAAGTCATAATAGGAAAAGGAAACGTATTTTGAAAATTATAAATGCGAAAAAGGCACATATCATTACTCCCTAAAATAAACTCATTTCATATACTCGTACATTATTATATGCAAATATAATGATAATATGCAGTGAATCAAACAGAATTAAATGAATATGCCTCATTGATCTTTTAAAAGCCCTTGGATAATATTTATTTCGCTTATGAGACACATTTATACTTTGCTCTGGGCTGTTCATAACCCTGAAAAAGAAAACAATTGTTAGAAACATATACAAAACTTTATCTATAAAGTAGTCGAAAATATTTCAATATTTTCGCTAAATTCACATCTAAACGGCTTGACAAATAAACCTCGAATGTCCGTTTTACTAATTACAAAACACTAGTGCACTATTGCCGCCAAAAACATAACCCCCGATTATTTCCTTAAAAGGAAATGCAAAGATACGGTGTATAATTTCGACAAAACATACATATACATTATGTTAGATTCAGATTAAATTTGATTCATTATCATAACGACTGATTTTAAATTATATCCTAATGTTTATACTGAGAATAATTTATTATTTCTGTTTCCAGCATCACGCTCATTTTCTGTCAAAATTGCAGGTGATAATTCACCATTGCTGAAATTGCAACATTTACATGATTTATAAGACGAAAGTTTAATTCTTTTTGATGTGGCTTTTTGGGGTCCTTCGGGATCATTGATGCCAGCACTATTGAATGTTGAGAATTGAGTACCGCTCAAGCCGGTGCTAGGGGGTGTGAGGGATGTTGTACTTATTCATTATATCTCATGTACAGACTCAATCAAACTGAGTCTGCAATTTTCATATAGTTTTGATGTGATTAATGTTTCCGAGGGATCACTTTGTTTTCTAATTTTTTGTATGCTTATGTACAAAATCTTTCAATTAAATCATAGAATAAATCTTCCCGGCTAGTTCTATTTTGAGAGCATCAGAATTGTAATCACAGTTTCGCTGGTTCTTTGCTCGCTCATGCAAGGGGGAAAGTTGCAGTGACAACTGATCCCGGGCATTGTTTCTTATTGTCATTTATCTCTCAAGATTCGCTGATTTAGAAAAACACATGATATAAGAAGCCAATCACAAATAGAAAAATTGGTGGTTAGTGATAAGTTATCAAGGAAAACCGATTATGTGGACGACAATATATGCATTGAAAACGACGTTGAACAGACAAGCAAGTATTAAAACAAATGAAGTTTGTTATAGCGAATGCCAAAAACCTGTTTAAATTACCAGTGAGTAACTTTTTTATGCCTGTAAAGAGGAATAAATGTTAAATTAGAGGAGATTTAACCGTAAAAAAAGTTTATTTCTTTGCCTTATATAACTCCATTCGCAATAACTTCTTACAAAAACAAACTGCATCTCTAAATGTGTATATTTACATTTTTTCTTTAGTTTATAAAGATTATGATTGAAGAAGTTCAAAGTGATGTGCGAAAATCTTTGATCACCCGAATGCACACAAATCAGTCGACAAATAAATACGGGGAGAAATCGGGAAGTAATTTGCCACCAGCGGGAGGCCGTGTCCGGCGAGTACAAGTAGTTGAATATGATCATGATGGTAAAATGATATTGTTTTTAGTATAATATTATGTTATTTTTGACAATTCATGAAATCATGATATAATGATCAATTTCAAACTACATATGTAAATATCACAAGAATGAATTTAATGTTTATACATGTACTTATTTCCCATTTCTAATATAATGCAAGACAGTAACATGCGCGCCTGCACAAACACAGTTTTAACAGCAACCACTGTATTTAAATAAGACTATGTAGGAAATACAACACATAACATAATTTGTATTTTCTTTATTAACTGAAAAAATATAAATGTTACAAAACAACAATTTTTCACCAAAATTAGGTAAAAGACCACATGTTAACATGGAAAAACTAATTTTTGGGTGATTCCAAGGTTTTTCATCATTTTTTGTTAACCTTTTCCCTTATATAAGCGTGTTTGGACGGCTTTTTGCCCACCACCCCCCCTTTTTGAGGCCTCAAACAGTGAAAAAATGTCCTATTTAGACCCAAACACTGTTTTTCGTTTGAGAAATGTTGTTAAAAAAAGTGACCATTTTTTCGGCGCCGTCCCCAATCCAAATAATACATCAGGGGGTTGCCAGAAGGGGGGTGTTCCCCCTTCTGTTTGGTGGGTTTGAAGGGGGGCGGAGTCCCCCTCATTGCCAAGAAAATTTTGGACTTGTGAGAGGTTTAAAATGACCCCAGGTTGATCATAAGGTAACGTGTAACCAACGCCGAAAAGCCTTTGACTCTATCTCAATCCCTTGAGAAGTTGCAGCACTTTGAAAAAAAAATTTGATGGAAAAAATCGAGGCAAAAAAGTGATTTTTGGCAATTTTGAGATGTCCCCTCGTTGCCATGGTAACAGGAAATTTAAGACTGAGCATGTTGTTACAAAGGCAATGGTCCAGTCAACATTTGTGCCAAGTTTGATTAGTATTGAAGCATTTTTCATAGTTTCATAGCAGTTTGAACTTGTAAGAGGAGGATTTTCAGTGAAAATGTCCATTTTTCACAATATGCTCATGGGGGAAAGGGTTAAGGAGAGCGTGCAAGGTACGCGGACGGTCACGATAACGTGTACAGGTATGGGGCATCTGATAATGGTGTTCTCATTTTAGATTAACCTCGAAAACTGCAGTTTGGGCAAGCAATCACAGTCGGTTGTGAAGTTAGACCAGGTACATTTTCCCCTGACAAACACTGTTTTTAAACATATTAACATTATCATGCAGTCAGTCAGTAAGTCGAAGAAAAAAACGTTTGTTAAAGTTATACAAGAGGCCGTAATAAAACCCCTACCAGTTTAACTAAAGGGGACTTTATGTTTACCCTCCGTCCGCCCGTCCGTCAGTCCGTCCGTCCACAAAAATTGGATCCCGCGATAACCCAAAAAATACTGAAAGTCTTTTTATGAAACTTGATAAATGGATAGATGGTAGTCTGGAGATTATGCAGATTATGTTTTTTCCTTTTCTTCCTTTGTTGAAAATTTTGGTTGCTATGGCACCAAAAGCTTAAAATATGGCAAATATAACAATATATGTCATTACTCAAAAAGTAGTGAAAACGTTTTTTATGAAACTAAAAATATATGTTTCTGATCATCAACCTCATCATATATGTGACAAGGTTTACAACTGTAGCACAAAATTTTCAGAATTACCCCCCTTGAACTTAGAATTTTCATGAAAAGAAAAAAAGAAATTTTTTTCTTAGCTTCTTTATTTCATAATGTATCTACTATAAACTTCATATATATGTGTCTTATTATTACTCAAGTCATTTGGGAGAAGGTTCAATACTCTAGCTTGACTATTTCCAGAATTATTTTCCCCTTGAACTTAGATTTTTTCTTGAAATTATCATATTTTACGCAAACTTCTTCATTTTTAAAGCATTTCCTTCAAACTCCCACATCATAATAATATGACAAGGGTTATAAATCTAGCGTCCATATTTCCAGAATTATCTTCTCCTTTAAACGTTGAATGTTTCTTACTCATTCTTTAACTTTCTTATTTCTCCATGGATTTACTTCAAATTTAAAAAAGACATTCATTATCAAGGTCTACTTCTTATATGATTAGATTTATAAGACATGGTTCACCATGATTATTTTCATTTCAACTTGAAATTTACTTGATTTTTTTTCTTTAAATTTTCTTCTTTTTTTCTTTTAGTTTAAGAATTTGCTTTTTTAAATGTTCTGGTAACAACCAGGGATGTTTAAAGATTTATCCTCAGAGTCTCTGTCAGTTGGTCTGTCTGTCCGTTTCTAAAAACTGTTTCCTGAGATCACTTTTAAAGACATTGGAACTTTTCCAACAAATTTACTTAAAATAGAGAAAATTTGAAACATCAGTTATACATATTCATCCTGAGAAAATTGGATCTTTTGATAATCTGTTTTATAAACATAATTAGGGAAACATTAACATATTACTTAGATACAGACAAACTAAGAACTCAAAAGATTTAAGTTTATCCATGTCATTCATTCATTTATTCATTCATTCATTCATTCATTCATTCATTCATTCATTCATTTATTCATTCATTCAATGATATAATTCAATGACCAATGGGGCTTCAGAATGTTGCTGGGGTTCTAACCGGTAGGGGACTGATGGATGGCTTGCAATACTATGATAATTGTTTGTTATTTCTGAATTTAACTTAAAAATCAATGATATTATGCCGTAAAATGACTTCGTGATATTTCATTAGGTAAAGATTGGACAAATTCTAAAGGAAACGCCCAAAACAGGCACAGAGGCGTCGTTACCAGAGTTGCAGGGCCGAAAGCGACAGTACGTTTACATTTGTTGTATCGGTTGGACTATAACTTAATATGTGTAAAAATGTTTGGTAAAATGCTTATGTAATAATTATATGTCGTTTGATGCATATCTGTCATTTGTATAGATTGTAGAAATTTTGTAGGCTGAATATTGCAAATAAAGTATTTAATTGGTAAACCCTTAGGAGTAAATAAAATGAATGCGTTCCAAAAGTGTTTCACACACATTCATAAAACTGAACTATTATAATGCCAGTCTTAATAATCTCTGATTACCATTAAAATCCCATTCTTGTGTACTTCAGAACAAAGATAATCTTTGTTGTTGTTGTTGTTATTGTTGTTTAAATAACCGAACGTACCACGGTTACTATCAGTTTAATGATAATTTAAACATTCAAGGTTCGCTGGGATGATGGAGAAAGGGGTGATTACACTTACAGTGGAACTGGAAAATGTGTAATTGAAGTTTGTTCTGGATTTCGAGCTTTGTATGTATTAACATGTTCTATCTTAGTTCTATAAGTAAAACTGCGAAAACCGAACTCTGTCCACACTTGACCAAAAGTCTGGAAATCCGTTCCTGGAACCAGGCAGTACAGAGCAATCAGTGTAAAGTTTCTTGTGCAAGGGAACTACGGCTTCCCCCCTGACGAGGTTTGAACCCATGGGCCTGTGGACTTAGAATACTAGTCCGCCGCGATAATCATTCGTCCATGATTGTGTCACTAAAATATAATTTACATAATATAATTTACATATTTTATTAGAATAATATCATATTGGACTCACTTTGTTCTATTTGATGATTTTTATTTTTAGACATTTTTATTAACACATATCAAATACTAATGCTTCAAATTTTCAGTGGCCTCGAAGGACACGTACTTGGATCAGATTTTACAGAGCCGCAACCAGATCAAAAGAAAAAGAATAAAAATAAAAATGTCAAGTAACATCATCAATAAACATTCAAACCGAACTACATGTATACTATTAAGAGTCTGGTGAATATTTTCCTAAATCACGTTATTGAATGTCAACAACCAATCAAGCGGGACGTTAAAAACGTACTTTATTGGTGCCATATACCCTTTGGAGTGAGACTTACGGGGACAGTGGACCTAAAAATGAACAATTTCGTAGTTCAGTGAGACCTAAAACACGATTCCAAATATTTCAAAATATGTTACACAGACGGATAACTAGTTGCACAGCATTATTCAAGGATATATCACATACATTTAAGAAAATAATAGTTTACATGCATTGCTCCTAAAAATAAGACTCACAAGAATCTATATTTACCCCACCCACATGAAGGTGCAGGATACTCCATTTCCTTCACATCACTAACTAACTAATTCACATCACTAACACACAGTGCAATCAATGGCATTTTGCAAAGTTGTCAATGTACAGTCTGTCATACGTTTAGATTTTTCACAAAATTTATCCAAAGTTTCTTACTTGTCTGGCGCCAACTGTAAAGTGCTTGATTTTAACTTTTTCACCTCCGTAAGAGAGTCACAAATAAATACATACAAAACTACCAAAATGTTTACTTTAGGGTAAAATCCCAACAATTATGCTCATTTCCTACACACAAACAAGAAAGCATTAAAATTTATCAGTACCTGCAAAACACCATGTCCACACCGTATTACCGGCGCCAGTGATGGCAGATCACTGCAGTGATGGCAGATACCTGAAATCTACCGCTCGGTACAGGTAGGTTATAAATTTGGTTGATATTATTATATCACACAAATACGGCCCATTTCATTGCTATGAAACTATTTTCCATTGACTGGAGATACTATTAGGTAATTTTGGACTCGATTTTTCCTGTTTTTAGACTATTTTGAGCAGGTTAAAAGTGACAGCTTCGGAAAAATCCGTGAAAATGTCTGTTTTTTTGTTCAAAATATCTCAAGTATTAACTAAACTGCAGGATTTCGTGCAATTAATATAGACGTGCATCTTTTGGGGTCACGCAAGCAAAATATATATCCTGTTCCCCGCAGGAAACCATTTTACTTGTAACCTACCTGTACCGAGCGGTAGATTTCAGGTATCTGCCATCACTGCAGTGATCTGCCATCACTGGCGCCGGTAATACGGTGTGATGTCTGTGTTATTAGTCGCCGGTAGAAACCGGCGACTATATTTGTAATAGTTTAATATTATACCTATGGTAGGAGAAGCCCTTAAAATCTGAAAACAAAAACATATCAATCATTGTACAATTAAAGACCACAATTATTTTTCAGTAATCTCAAAAATTCAAACATATGATAACTTTGCTCAGTGAAATGAAATATACACATATTGACATCTTAAAAAGCAACATTACAATTTTCATAAAATGAATCAATAACGTATCCCCAAGGATCAGTCATTGAATATTAGGGTTACTTTTACTCAAGCATTGCTACATTGTATTTTATAATATATAAATCATGAATGATATTTGAAATGACACTTTTAACATTTTAAAATTATTTGGTTGTTTATATCTTATGAGACCTATTATATTACATTATTTTATCTAATTATAAACAGATTCTCCCTGGTCTTTCGTAAGAATCACGTGACTACATCTTTATATATGTTGTATATCGTTATAAAATCTATTAATAGTAACAGATTGCTGATAAGACATGCAGGTAACTTGTTAATTATTGGCAATAGGTATGCATGGTTACTGATAAGATGCAAATCATTGGAATTTTGTACAGATAATTATATAAGTTATTTTTCATTAATCAGTTTCATACTTTATATCATTAGAAAAACCTGTTTACTCATATTTTACACATTAAAAATAAATTTTCAAAACATTTTCCTTTCTTCTTGGTAAAGGGTTAAACTTGGCCCGTTCTGTCAAACTTCCGACAAGAAAGTTCAATAGTTTAGTTTAGGTTGAACATCCCAAAATAATTTTATGCTTTAGAGGCACAGTATTGAAATATATGATGGTAATCGTTGATTTCGGTATATTCCGTCGGTTTCAGTCACGCAGGTTTCCAAAACGGTATGACGTTAGGGGTTCGGAATCGTATTAGATACATTGATAGTTTATCGCTCTGAAAGGCAATTAAACGTTTATTTTATATATCGTATGTAATGATTGGAATACATGTTTTTTCGATAGCACATAATAATGATGTAAACACTTTTACAGTAAAATTGCACTGTTTCATGAAATAATTAAACATAATTATATATTTTCATAGTCACTTTGCAAATATTCGATGATCGATAATTTTTTGTCGGTAATTATCTGAATTTGAACTAGTAACATATACGAATTTCAATGTATGGTACAACAGTATATGTATAAAGTACAATTACTAGAAGAATTACCAGCATAGCACTTGTCTTATAAGCCTCAGTGGCAAACATTACTCAACTCATTGTTCCTCTTATTTTTATACTTGAACCATTAAACTTATATTTTCTTATATTTATGATAATACAATCATTTTTCTATCCGGCGACTTGATGCTTTAGCATCAAAATTTCTACTTGTAAATAAATTTGACGGGACTAAAAAAGTGTTAGATCACCACACTATATACCGTATTCCGGTATATACCGGGCTTGGCGCTTGAGTGATTAATTGATTAAATGCTAAAATATCGCCTATTCATCCGCCGAAATGCACTATAAAAAGACTTTTGTTGATGTCAGAGTCTCAGAGACTTGGAAATCAATCGGAAATGATTTGGTGATCTTTGTGGAGGTGAATATCTGCCAAAACTAAATGTATCTTGATGACATGTTTATATTTGAATGTTAGTATAATCCATGTGTGTTTATTGCATTCTTATTTATACAAATTAGATTTGTTCTTTTTCTATGTACATTTATTTACTTATAGAAATGCAAAGTTTCAAATGTATGTTTGTCATTGTGAGGAATAATATCGCGGATTGTTATGGGGAAATTATATCATTGCTTTTCATTTAAGTCTTGTTCAAAATGATAACAATATTGTGTAGAAGTTAATATTCAATGCATGCTTCATAATAGCTTCCAATTGTTAGTTGTTGATGTCTTTATCACATATGCAAAGTGAAAACTGCTTGTATATTTCTTTAATATAATACATGTACATTTTGTGTGTGATAAAAATTCCTTGCTTACAAATGTTGTTAACTAAAATTTCATTAAACGTTTCTTGTCCTTTCAAACAACAGAGGCAGGTACATACATTGCATGTACATGTTGGAAAATGTTCGTTATAATTTACTCTTTGCGATTTATGTCAGATCAAATAAAACAACTGATGTTAACTTGCTGGGCATATTTGTTTAAATGAAGTACGACAACTCTAGCCTTGTTAATAAATAATAACGGATCCCAAAGGAATACTCTCCTTAAAGAAGATGAAGATGGAGGAAAATATTCCGGTATCCGGGACGCCCGGGATCTAGGAACGTTTAAGATTATATGGAAAAGCTATGAACTATATTTGTATTGATACTTGCCTTAATCAAAGGGGAAAACAGCATTAAATTCGTTTGATTATGCTGTATGTAATGACTGGGACACTGATTTAAACTTAATGAAATATATTTAAAGCAATATATTAATAAACTTAAAATGCGGAAGTCTTTGATATATACACAATTTTGCTTATATTTATTTATCTAATTATTAAGATTGTAAGTTAACATTATTGGTAGTAAAAACATTTGACATCTATGATATTTGGTCGATTCCCGGGATCTATATATATAGAGATCCGAAACACCCGAGATGTATGGAAAAGTAGAAATTATCACATGCGATACATAAAATGCAAGAACATTATGTACATAATGTTAGAAGGTAAAATATGTGTATGCCTCCGACACTGTGAACAAGCCAGCTTTGCTAGTCACATTCAAAACAGAATAAATGTATATTTTAAGACATTTCCTTTTCATTTAAAGTTGAAACATAAATTAAACGCATATATCTATATGGAGGTGAAATAAAACACAATTGCGCATATGTCTTACATATATAAGTACATGTATGTACAAGTGGCTATTTCATAAAAGAAAAACCCCATTTTCTGAACAGTTAATATCTCTGTGACAATGATCCAGTACATACACCCCTACATACACATCTTTGTGTGTGTATTTGCGTTTATTTATACTCGCCACCGGTTGCCCATATGGGCGAGTCCCCCAGAAGACTATTAGTCATTTTAGATTTTTAGAGGATAGTGCAATTACAGATACAGAAAGATGCCCCAATTCAAGAAGCTTCTCCTGGTTCTTTAGCGTGCCAAGTGTTTAAGCACCCATACATGGGACCTCGATTTAAAGTCTCATCCGAAAGACTGATTAGTAATTTTAGTTGGCCAGCCCGGGAATAGAACCCACAATGTCGAGATTACAAGTCTCGCGCTCTAACCGATTGAGCTATGCGGGCTGGCTTACATACACATCCCATGCTACCTCTAGTTTATAAACTGACGAGATATAAGTGTGTAACGGTTACAAGAGCATATATGAATGTTGGTATAAAATGAACGTGTACATTATATGTTCAAAGTAAAAAGCATGTTAAGCTTTTTTGTCATATTGCTGAGACTCAGTTTCCGATCTATAATCTTATTTAAAACACAACTTAAAGTGGCTTTTGTCTTCACCAGAATGATTTATTATGTGAAAGGGCCAGAGGGAAAGGGACGTAATATTAGCAGTTCCGGTGTCAAGTTAATTTGACAATGGAGATAAAAGTGTTTTTCTTTCCGTGTCGTGTGTGTGTGTGTTAAAAAAATATATGCGACACACCATATTGTCTTGGGCAATTCATTCACAAATATTGACTATTAACACCTGAATAGAAAACGAACAATTGTATTTTCTTAGACCAGCTTATATATACATGTAGTAATGTAGTGAACGACGCAGATGACAGAGTTCCTGGATGAATTTTTTCATCAGTATGTTATTTCTTCCACTTTTTTAGGGGGGGGGGGTGTCATATGGGCGTTGAGTGCAAATTTCTTTAAATGTATTAAATTATATCAATTCTGCAAAACGTGTAAATGATCGTTTCGAATAAATAAGAAACAGTGACTTCTTTTGTTCTGTTTAATATTTATTAAACTTTATGAAAGATGTACTGTATACTGTCTTTCAGACTTCAAGTTTTGATTTCTGTATGACGCAAACCTGAAATATAAGTAAATGTTATAATATGAAAATATGTATTTCAATTGCTAGTGAATGGTGCTTTATTTAGTAGATAGATAGATCTGCAAAGAGCAGTGAATGATAACAATAAGTACCCGGCAAAAACACTGTTACATAAGTGAATCTATATGAGAAAATGATTGGTATTTATAATCAGTCAATCTAAAATGACATTATGCTAAACAATTATTTGGCTGTCAACCGGAGCAACCTTGGTGATATATTTCAAATATTTATAGAAATTTACATAGGTCAAGTGGATAAATAACTATTGTGCATAGTAAAATATAAAAAGAACACAATTATGGCAAAATATTACTTTGAATGTTGTTGTTTGTTGTTTTATAGACCAAGTTGAAAGTCATCTGTCAAATATGTCAAATCTAAGTTACCTTTAAATGTAGACAAAAAACCCACCCATTTTTCGTATTACCTTATTATTTTATTCAGCATGAATGTCATTTTTATTTTGCTCACATTTAGTTTAATTCGTTTGCTTATTCAGGGTGAGTGTAAGGAACCTCATTGAGCTTTAAGCTCTAATCGGGTTAAGACTCCCACTAAATAAGGATATTTTAAATTAAATTATAAGCATATGTCTCAATTAGATCTATCGTTTCATATTTTTTTCAGTTTCCAGTGCCCAAGTCGGGGTATGTATGATTTTCACAATTTATATGTTTTAAGGCTTTTGAAATGTCAGCTGCAAAGCTCCTTTAAAGACTATAAAGCTATATTTAGTGCACTTTCTATACAAATTTTTGAACAATAA